TATTATTGTATTTGCAGCAAAGCAAAGGGAGAAGGAACACTGTTTTTATGTCTAAAACTATGGGGCAGTGGTCTTCTGTTTTACTTTTCTTTGCTGCTGTTCATGAAGCTGTTACCTTTTTGCTGTCTTTTTTTTGAGAGGGAGTCCCGCTCTGTTCGACCCAGATGGAGTGCCATCTGCTGTTGGCAATCGCTAGCTTCACGTGCACAACCCTCTACTCTCAGGTTCAAGTGAGTTTCTCACTGCCTTCAGCCTCCCGGAGTTAGGCTGGGAATTTACAGGCATGCGCCACAGTAGAGACGGAGTTTCTCCATGGTTGAACCCGGCTGGTCTCCAACTCTTTGGCCTAGATGATCGCCTGCCTTTCAGCTTCAAAGTGCTAGGATTACCAGACAATGGAACCACCTCACCCAGCCCAGATAATGCCTTTTTACCACAATTCTTAAAATTTTCTATTTATCCTGGGAAATAGGGTCTTCTTCAACCAGTGGAGAATGGCGTGGTGTGATATAGCTCACTGCAAGCCAGACCACCATGGGTCTGAAGCCTGGATCCTTGGAGGCTCCCAAATTAGGGGGACTATAGGGTGTAATGCCATCATGCTTTGTTCCTGCCTCAGCCTCCTGAGTAGCTGGGACTACAGGCACCCGCCACCATGCCTGGCTAATTTTTGTATTTTTAGTACAGGCAGGGTTTCACCATGTTGGCCAGGCTGGTCTCGAACTCCTGACCTCAAATGATCCACCCACCTCGGCCTCCCAAAGTGCTGGGATTACAGGCATGAGCCACTGCACCCGGCCAAATAAAGCAAATTTTAATCCAAGGTAAAAAGCACGTTCTGCTGTAAACTGGAAGACAGTCATGATGTTGTGACTCAGATATCTATACACTGTGATAACAGGAAGAGCTCTTAGTATCATAAAAAAAAAAATGAAAGAAAAAAGTGCTTAAAAAAAATCATAAGCACATTTTGCTCCTAGTATTCTCAGAAACTTGTACTGTGCCTTTGGGCCCTCAAACAATTGCTCAATAAATGAAGAAATTTACATCAAGTTTTTTTTTTTTTTAAAAAAGAGGAAATGGAAATTAAACATTTCAAAAAAGATACAAAGAATTACCAATAAATGTTACGATAATTTCTGGGGGGGAAACAATTCTTTCAGTCATTAGTAAAATGCGAAAAAATAAAAAGTATGAATTAGAACTCATTCTCTTCTGATCCAGATATAAAGCTATGTAAAAACATTCAATGTTTGCAGGCATGAGAAAACAATCTTCTTTTAAAAAAGTACTCTATTAAATCCACCTTTCAAACCATTAAGAAAAGCTCTAAATAAACTAGTTAAACCAATCAGTAATTTGCCCTTCTTATCCCATTTTTAAAATCAAAAATTAAAAGAGAGAGAAGAAAATTAATATCACTACAAATCCAATATCAAATACTTTGAGTATTTTCTTCTGAGAAATCACAGTAAAAAGGTCTCATATATTTTCAGAAAATTCTACTGAAACAAACTCACCCAAATATTTGTGACATCAAAAGCACTAACTTAGGCCGGGCGCAGTGGCTCATGCCTGTCATCCCAGCACTTTGGAAGGCTGAGGGGGGCAGATCACCTGAGGTCAGGAGTTCGAGACCAGCCTGGCCAACAAAGGGGAAACCCTGTCTCTACTAAAAATACAAAAATTACCTGGGCATGGTGGTGGACACCTGTAATCCCAGCTACTCAGGAGGCTGAGACAAGAGATTCACTTCAACCGAGGAGGTGGAGGTTGCAGTGAGCCGAGATTGCGCCACTGTGCTCCAGCCCCGGCAACAAGAGTGAGACTCTGTCTACATATTTAAAAAAAAAAAAAAAAAAAAAAAAAGCACTAACTCTAAAAAATAAGGTACTTTTCAAGGGGGTCTAGTAGAAAGAAAAAAGACACACACATGCAAATGGTCAAATGTAACGTAAAGGCTGAGAAGTGCCATAGCCTAGAAAGTTTTATTAGCATTTTAGGGTCAATCTAAGTAGCTGACATAGGAAATGAGGGTGGAAGGTAGAGAAACCTATGCAAGTTATTACCATATTAATTATGACTTTATGATTTAAACAGATGGGAGTGAGACCAACATGGCCTTAATGCCTACCTCCTTCAGGTCTTTTCGCTAATGTCGCCTTCAAGGACTTCCCTGACCACCCAATTTGAAAACTGTACCCCCTTTCACATGCTCTGATAATCCGAACCCCCTTGTTTTATTTTTCTCAACAGTATTATCCTCCAGCTAGGGCTCCCTCTCCGTTTTATTCACTACTGTACCCCCAGTGTCTGTGACAGGTGCTCAATAAATATCTTAACAAAGCAGGAAGAGAGAAAAGGGCAGGCTTTCCAGTCAAGCAACCATATGATGTGTTACATTTAGAGCAAAGTTGGTAATCAAGAAGAGAATGAAAAGATAAAGTGAATGATGGCGGGGGGTCTTGAAGGTCAAATTAAGCAATTTCTAATGTTCCTATGCACTGGGAGATGAAGCTTACTTCTTTCAATCCAAGTGACCGTTTCAAAAAAACACTTTGGCTAATATTACAAATTAAACTAGATCCCTACAGGTCACAAGCATAAAACATTAATGCAGCTTCCTATTTTATGCCACAGCAAAATATTACTATAGTTAACAATTTACTACTTAGATATTTGAAATAAATCACCAATATTCTTTTTAATATGAGCATGACTTGATGACGCATGACGTATATAAGAATCCCTAGTCACTTCTCCAAAAAAACCTGAATAGTCTACCATGTTTTTTCTGTTACATCAATAGGAATAAATAAACTGATACAAAAAAGAGTCAGGGCTCTTTCTTTTAAAAGATAGACTGGAGGAATGAAACACTAAAGACAATGCAGCGGCACTACCCAATCCCACATGAAGAAAATCAACACAACAGGTCTTATATCTGCAATTCCTTGATCAAACAAACCAAAGCAAATTAATTCTATAGAAGTACTCCCGAAACACTTACTCTTTTGCTATTTACCAACTCATAAAATAAAAATGTAACATAGTTCATTTCCTGAGCAGTAACTCCACAGTTACCAAAAAGGAACTCAAATTTCAACTCGAAAACATAGCTCTATAATGCTCCAAAAAGCCAAGGTCCTACCTTATTAAAAAAATTAAAGCATTTATTTAAAAACCTGCTTGAAATGCCTACAAACTAAAAGCCTCTAATTACTTCAAAGTAAAAAACAAACAAAACCCACACACATCATTAATTTAAAATGCTAATATAAAATCAAACTGGCCACTGCAACCTCAATAGTAACACCAGTAGCGTGGTTTCCTATACTGCTTCAACTTGTAACACACAGAATTCAATAAAACTGTATTTTGCTTCTGGCTCGTATATGTCAGCTGATTAACTTCTAAGAAGTTCCCAATGACCTTATCGGATCCCATTATTTAACTGCCAACGCTATTTCAGAATTATGTACCCAGTTAAATACAAATCTTACGCTACCTCCAAATGTATCATTTATTTTGCCCCATGACAATGTATTGATAAACTACAGTTAATCAAACAGCTCTACTCATTTCCCTTAATTGGTAAAACAGCAGCCATTTTCTGGGGGAACATTTTTTAATCAAGGAGAAACAGATTGTGTCAGAGGTACACTGTGATTGACTCACAATGCTGAATGGTTTGCTATGTAAGTCCCCATTTTAATCAATGAAAACCACAGAAAAGGTTCTTGGGGACTGAATTATTAATGGCTACACACCACTTGGCTAATATGGCATAATACAGTCTCACAGCAGGATTTACATAAAAATTATTCCAAAAATGTATTTCCTGCTGTCACTATCTACTTAAAAGATGGGCATAAATTTAATCTTTTCCTCATCTGAACTAGATAAATGCCCACTGCTTTATTCTGTTCTCAAAATAGCCCTCTATGGTATGGTTGTCACAAAGACTGAGGCTGATCCCTGGGACCTGCATATACAAGTATGTACAAAACCGAAACCGTGAAGTTTTGTCAATTTTGTTTTAACTAGAAAGAAGTACTACACTGGGTGAATTTCACTTATTGTGGTTTTTGTAATACTGTAATTCAAGAATAAAAGGCATCTCATGCTACTAGGATTAGGAACATCTGTGTCCTATTCATGATTATTTTTAGGAAAACTACCAAGCCGTCTACTGCCCAAGGAAAAAAAATGCAACAAAAAATTAATACCGAACATTTAAAAAAAAGTTAAAAACCTAGAAATATACTTGCCACCCCAACACCTTTTTTCTGCTGTAGTTCTTTGCATTTCACTGGTTTCTTAGCAACCGTATAGCACTCAAGTGGGTAAGCACACACAGAACAAGAAAAAACACCATGCTGGTTTTTTTCCTTTAAGATCTAAAACCAACTGTACTAAACCTTGTTCTTCCAACCTAAGAATCACTTAAGACAGGGGTCCAATTTAGATAAATATACCACCCTAAAGGTCAGTGACCAAATTTGGTCAACAAGGGTGCCATCACAGCCGTCATCATTCTTGTCACCGTCAGGAACAACTGTCACCTTGCCATTACCAGGAAGGGAAAGCAACTGGAATATTCCTTTTGTAAGTTCTATTTACAGACTACAAAGAGTCCAACATCATCTTAGTATGATCTTACAACACGGTAACAATGGAAGAACCCAAAACATTAAAGGCTTCCCAGTGAAGAACTTTTTGATATTAAAAGCTGATAAACCACAAGAATTTGTAAGACCATGCCACACTCTGGGACAACTCCTAATTGCATTATAAATGTCAGGCATCTATTTTCTGAATATCAATGGCTTCAAGTGTTTTGTTCGTAATTTTAAAAGGCCCAGATTGTTTTTAAACATGGAGACACAGCTTGTAACTCCCAATATGTTTTCACCCAATGGACACCATTTGTTTTCTGATTTATCTATGGAATACTTTCATCTTTCTGGGGGAAAGAAAATAAATTTTTTCATACTTACAAAAGATATACATGCTGCCAGTAATAAAATCCTAACTAGCAAGTCTTCAAACTGCTCAATCACAAGTTCCAGCAAGGTTTTTCCTGTAAGAAACAAACACATGTGTTGTAGCTGTCATCTTACCATCAGCACACCAAGAGAGGGAAAAAAAAAAATGTTAAGATTACCTTCTTCAGCCGGTAACTCTGTAGAATGTAGAAATTCGCCAGGCAATGTGTCAAGAGGGAGGTTAAAAAAAAAGAGAGAGACATTTTAGCACTCCGTCTTTCTAAAAAGAACTGCTACAATTCTAAGCATCAGTATCTTCAAAACACAGACCTAGCTATAGGAATATCCAATTTTTTTTAGCAGAAGGTATACTACAAAGCTATCTCAAGAAAGCATGCACTCTTTGTAATCAATGGCCTGAGGTCTAGCCCTAAGCGTGAAATCACTTAGGGTTCCTGAACCGAGGAGTGGTTTCAGCGATGTCATCACTTCTGCCAGATGTGTAACTCTGGGTAGGACAAGAACGGTCAGAGGCTTTCCAACGACCTCGACGCCTCATAAATCGGCAGGGGACGAGAAAACGTCTTGCCGGGCTCAACCCAGCTGCAGGAGCCTCGTCCCTCCCTCCACCGGGGCCGGCTGCTGCTGGAGAGAAGCCTCCGAGCCTTGCGCGCCGAGAAGATCCAGGGCCCGAGACGCGAGGAGGTCCAAGGGAGGCGAGGCGAGGCGAGACCCGCAGCCCCTTTCTCCCCTGCGGGGCCGCCGCGCCGGCCCGACCCTCCGCCCGCAGCCGTCGGCGGGCGCGGAGCCGAAGCCCACGAGGTGGAGCCCGGTCAGCCATCTTCCCTGGCTCTCCGGGCCGCGCCGGGCCCCTGTAGCCGAACGCCCGGCACCTACCGTTGGAGCCCCATCTCTCCTTGAGCTTCTTGACCTGCTCCAGGCTCAGCCCCGTACTCTCGTTGACGCCGAAATGGCCCAGCACCTCCTCCACCGTCTTTGTGTGCGCGTTCTCCATGGCTTCGGAGGCCCGGCCGGCCTCGCCTCCCGTCCCCGCGGCCTCCTCGCCTCCGCCTCGCACTCCGGCCGCGGGCTCGTGCCACCCCGGGAGCCCAGGCGCGGACGGGCGCTCCCCTCCTCCTCCTGCGGCCGCTTCCGCCTCGCCGGGCGCTGAATCACCCCGCGCCCCCTCCCCCAGACAACCGCCCCTCGCGCGGCCCCGAGCTCCGCAGGGCGGGTGGGGGGCTCCTGACCCTCCCTCCCCTCGCAGAAGGGAGGGCCTCCCTCGCCCTCAGCCGCCCGCGGGGAGCGCAGGCCGCGGCCCCTGAGCCCCCTCCCCGTTCTCTTGAGGCGATCAGAGGCCCCGCCCGGGCCGGAGGAGGGGGCGCCCGGCCGACCTCCGAGGGCGGAACGCGGCAAGGGAGGCGAGCCGGCGGGGCGGTGCGCGGCGCACTCGACCGGGTCCCTCAGCTCCGCACGCACGACAGCGGCGGAGGAAACTGCGGCGAAGGAGAAGGAGGTGGCGTCGGGGACGGCTCCGCGGCGGCTGCTCTAATAGCATTTATCGGCCGCTGCCTCCCCTCTCGCCGCCGCCGCGGCATGTGGACGCCGCTCATTGGCCGAGAGCGCCCAGCGCGGCGCGGGCGGCGCAGCCCCGCCCCCTCCCCCCGGCTCCCTCCTCCCGCGCGCCTGGCGCCCACGCTGCCGCGCAGGCCCCGCCCCCTCCCGCGCGCCGCCCCTAGGAACCCGGATCGAGGCCGCGCGCGCCGCGGTCTCGGGGTTGGCGGAGGGGAAGCCGGGGTCGCTCCTAGCTGCGTGCGGTTCTCTGGCTCACCCACCTGCGGACGCAGGGTGGGGCGCTCACAGTGCGCTCGCTGCTCTGGGGCCGGTGGGCGGACGGTTGGAAGGCGAGGCCGAGGAGCTTGGAGCGCGGTCCACGCGGGGCGTCCTCGAGGCGCGCTCGGGCTGGTGTCCTTGGCTCGCCTCCTCGCCCTCGGTCGCCCGGGCTGCGCTCTGCATCCTAATCTGTCTCCTTCGGAGCCCCCCTCAGGAACCAAGGGGAGGAATTCCGCAGTTCCCTTCCCACACAACCCAAATCCTTCATCTGTCTCCTCGGGAACACCGCATCCCACACCCCCTGCCGCCAGCTCCTTCGCACGCCAGCCCCGATTCTACCCCAGCGGGTTCTGGGCCCTGACGAGGGAACCCCCCTCGCGGAGGGGGGAGGGAGAAGAGTTGATTTTATTATTAATAGCTCACGCAGCGCTTGATAGGTGTCTGCAGGGCAGTCACAGGTCACACCGCTGCAGCTGCCACACAGCAGCTAGACTTGGGCTAGGAGGTGCTTCGCTGTGGCTTTCAGATGAAGGCGGGTTCATAGACTCACTTCCCTCGACAGGAGAAAAGGGGACTTGAATCCAAAGCCTGCTGTTAAGCCACAGATGATTTGCTCTGCTCGGAAGGACGAAACGCAGGTCACAGCGAGATAAAGGGAATTTTGCCAATATAAATTAGCTACATTACTTAACAAGGGAAATTGCATGGAATTCATGAACCAAAACAATATATTCGCTTCACAAAGAAGAGCAGCTTTCTTCAGGGAGTAGGTTGCAGAATGAAGCATTTAGTCCACTTTTGTGTTTAGCAATAATACACCATCCACATGAGCAAAAGCAGAGCAGAAAAATCACCTCAGTTGTCTCAAGTGGCTAGGCTTCAGGACTTAAGATAAATTCCTTCAACAGGTGCAAATTACAGTGCATCAGCAGCTGAAAAAAATGAGGCATGTCATGTCATTTAATTATTTCCAAGGAGTGGAGGTTGGCATGTAGTTTTGATTGATACTTGGAAAAGAAGCAACAAAACCCTACACGAAACAAACAAAAATTCTCCTGTATGGCAACGCACTGAGAGAAGCCAGGTGGAAACTGGTTAGGTCACAGGATCAAAGCCGCTTCAAGAGGGGCACATGACTGCACGGTGGGGGTGTGGTCATGGAGGGCTGGTTGTTGTTGCCCTCTGAGACCAGCTCTGCACCATTTCCTACCAATTCTTCTCCCTTACCTCTCTCTCTTTCAGGACCGATAGAAGACTGCAGGCAAGAGAAGGATGGTTTACCTTACTCAGTCTGGAAATTAGCTTAGGTATTTAATGTTGAATATTCTGTGCCACTGTCACTGCTTGGGGTTGTAAGCACCTCTGGTGCAATTATGAGCTTCTGGAGGAGTTCCTGACCCCAGCCTTTGTATGGAATGCTCTTCTCACAGATCTTCACTTGTGTCATTCTCTTTCTTTTCAAATCGCAGCTTACATGTCCCCTCCTCAGAGATGTCTTTGCTGTCTAAAGTGGCTACCTAGGCACAGTGGCTCACGTCTGTAATCCCAGCATTTTGGGAGGCTGAGGCAGGAGAATCCCTTGAGCTCAGGAGTTTGACACCAGCCTGGGCAATATATCGAGACTCCATCTCTACTAAAAAAAATAAAAAATAAAACAAAAATTAGCTGGGCGTGGTAGCCTGCGCCTTTAGTCCCAGTTACTCAGGAGGCTAAAGAGGGAGGATCGCTTGAACCCAGGAGGTCAAGACCAGTGATCTGCAATCACACCACCGCACTCCAGCCTGAGCAACAACAGAGTGAGACCCTGTCTCAAAAAAAAAAAAAAAAAAATTAAAAAAAAGTGGCTACTCTCGGCAATTCACCTTCCATCACATTCTTCAGTTTTCTTCTTTTCTTTCTTCTTTGAGACAGAGACTCTGTCACCCAGGCCGGAGGACAGCAGCGCAATCCCAGCTCACTGCAACCTCGGCCTCCTGGGTTCAAGCAGTTCTTCTGCCTCCACCTCCTAAGTAGCTGGGAATACAGGTGCACACCACCATGCCTGCCTAATTTTTGTATTTTTAGTAGAGATTGGGTTTCACTATGTTGGCCAGGCTGGCCTCGAACTCCCGACCTCAGGTAATCCACCTGCCTCGGCCTCTCAAAGTGCCAGGATTACAGGCATGAGCCACCGTGCCCGGTCAGTTTTCTTCAGAGTGCTTACTTGTGATGTTGTATTTTAGTTTAGCTGTTAACTGCCTATCTCCTAGTGTCTCATGGAGCTCTAGGACAGAAGCTCCATAAGAACAGGGCCTTGTCCATCTTGTCCATCCTCAGTACAAAGAACAGTCTATACTCCTTATTTATTAAATGCCTGCTGTTTGAATGAATGAATGAGTCCCACCATCCCTAGCCCATAAGCGACTTGCAAAGGGCCTCCCCCATAGGAGGGCCTCAGCAAATTTTCAGTGAACTCAAGTTCATTGATTTCCAATTTGTGAAATAAATTAGAGGGCCTCTCTGAACTACTTGCCTCATGAGAACGGCTGTGAAGTGTAGTCAGTTTAAAACAAACAGACAAAAACAAAGCTAAACAGCATTACAGGTTTCTCAGAAAGGAGGAAGGTTCAAGTTCACATTGGTACTGTTACCACATTGCCATTGCCCTCCTAGACTGTTCTCCGCAAGCTTTCTATTTACTGGAGGCTGGAATACTCCCTTAAGCTGAAACTGTGATTTTAAGCCCAGAATTGGCCCCCTTATACATCATCATAACAATTATGCTCTTGGTTCCTCAACCTGCTGGTGTCTCTGAAAGCTGTTGTTGATGGGTTGCCAAAATTTATCAGAAACGCAGTCTCCCAAAGGCAGAAATATCTAGTTTCTTTCATGTAGAAATAAACTTGTGCTTAATTTATTTTATGCATCGTGTTATACTTGCTTCTTGTTAACAAGGGTTTTCAAAAGTAAGAATAGGTTTTAGAAATACTCTATTTTTCAGCAAGAATTGCAGGCACATTCAATCAATTGAGGACGGAGAGAAAACAGAAACTGATTCAGAAAGATGGATGATTTGATCAAAGAACTTCAAAGGCATTAATAAAGGAGGACATTAGCTGCTAAAAGGCAAGCTGGTTTAAAAAGCAAGTTAGACAGAAATGGACAGTGGAAATGAGTGACTTGTAAAAGAGGCCCCAGCCAGCTTCCCAGTGCTGTAAAGCAGTGGAGATTGCAAAAGGCAGTCCGTTCTGTATTTGGACAGCTCTAATCATTAAAGCAGTCTCATTCTAGGCTGAATCCACCTCCCATTGGCTAACTTCATCTATACATTGGATCTTGTTTAGCTTTCTGGAACCATTCCAAATGAGTTTAATCCCTCTTTGGTGTGAGATCCCTTTGAGTATTTCAAGCTATCTACTGTGTTAAAAAGTCTCTTCCCAGCTGGGCGTGGTAGCTCACACCTATAATCCCAGCACTTTGGGAGGCCAAGGCGGGCGGATCACAAGGTCAGGAGCTCGAGACCAGCCTGGCCAAAATGGTGAAACCCCATCTCTACTAAAAAAAAAAAAAAAAAAAAATACAGAAATTAGCCAGGCATGATGGCATGCGCCTGTAATCCCAGCTACTCCGGAGGCTGAGGCGGAAGAATTACTTGAACCTGGGAGGCAGAGGTTGCAGTGAGCCGAGATCGTGCCACTGCACTCCAGCCTGGGTGACAAAGCAAGACTCTGTCTAGGGAAAAAAAAAAATAAAGTCTCTTCCCAGCTTCTTCCTAGATCATGAGTTTGTAATCCCTCAACAACTTTGTCATCCAGTTCTAGAGGTACCCAGTACTGAGTACAAAAGTCTGGGCATGGGGCCGGGTGAGGTGGCTCACGCCTATAATCCCAACACTTTGGGGGGCCAAGGCGGGTGGATCATATGAGGTCAGGAGTTTGAGGCCAGCCTGGCCAACATGGTGAAGCCCTGTCTCTGCTAAAAATACAGAAATTAGTTGGGTGTGGTGGCATGCCCCTGTGATAGCAACTGCACTCCAGCCTGGGCGACAGAGCAAGACTCTGTATCAAAAAAAAAAAAAAGAGTCTGGGCATGGTCTTGCAGAGGAGTTGTCATGCCCACCTTTACACTGGATCTTTTCCCCTGCACACTGTAGATTTGTGCTGACAGTCAACTCAAAACAGAGTCCTTTCTATATAAACTACAGTCGGTAAATCTCATTGTGCACTTGCACTATTGATTGTTTTTAACCCAGGCACTGAACTCTGCGTGTACTTAAATGTTCTCATGCTCTAGACCCATGTTTAGCATCTGTTCTGGTCTTTTGAGTTCTTCATTTTCAAGTACTTTAGCTCTATGTCCCAGCTTTGGGTTACATACAAATTTGATAAGCATGTCTTCTATGTCTCTATCCAGTAGAACTTCTAGACACTCATTCCAGATTGAAAATATCCAATTAAATGTGTTCAATTGTTCAACTATTATAAAAAATCAACTTGACTACAGTGTCCAAAATCAGTAAAGTGAAAATCTTATAAGGCACTCCCTGTCTCCTTATCTTCTATAATACTTTATTACACAGTGTTGGAACAGATAATTTTTCTTTTGGTTGAGTGCCTGATGTAGTCAGCTTGACCTAAGGGTCATGTTATATGAAAACACCCATTTATGTACCAAAATCAGAACTGACACAGTCAGATGCTTACACTGAGACACCGATGAGAACTAAGGCTGTTCAACCAAGTTACATCTGTCATCTCTTATGGGGCGCATACTTGTTGAGTAGAATGATGAGAATTGCCTGCAGTATTTAAATTGTCACTTAAGATGATTAGGCAGACATTAGTCTACCACCCACCTTTCTCTACT